CTCCCGTGACTCTTAGGAGAACTATGGGGAAAAGCCCTGACCCCATAGTTCTCCTTTAACCCTTATAAGTTCTTTTAGTAATTCACATTTTGGTGTTATCAAAACAATTACACATTTATACTCAAGCTGCAATGCAAAAAAAAAAAAAAGATACTAAAAAGTTATTTGAATTGTTGCTTTCGAGTACAGGCTTACACCTCATTTCTATAACAGTGCAGGATTTAAAAATCTTAAGATTTGTTTCCCCGTTAAATTGATACATTTTTATAAGAGAATTGCTACAGTCATTAACTTGATTTCCAAGCAATCCAGAGTGTATTACTTTTTGAGAAGTAAAGAAGAAAGATAATTACAGGTCAAATGTGGCATCTTCTATTGTTGGTGCTGGCAAAAACAAATAGGGAAATTAAGTTTTGCGGAAGATTCAGATGTGGAAAGGCTTGATGAATAAACAACATATTAGAAACTAAGAGTGCAAACAAGAAAAAAACATAATATAAAGCATTCTAAAAATATAACTCTCCACCTTGTAAGCTTTTCATGTGACAAGTGGTCTGACCACTTTGACGTGCACTAAGCGATGACTGACATATTGTTTAGTAACATGCACTGGTAACATTACACAAAAGCCTGGTGCGTTGACTGATGCTTATTAAACAGGGTGCAGTGTCTAAGTGCTGTCACTTTGTTGACACTTTTATTTACATGCAGTAGGATCAAGTCACTAAGATAAATGTATAGTTTTGTCTTCTAAACATGCTGAATTTACCATCATGAATATTTTTCTAAGCCTTATTGTCCCATAGTTATTTTATCTCACAAAGAGTAATTTTAACACTTCAAGCTTTTTTTTTTTTTCTCTCCTAAGCAGACACTTCTTTGAAACCTAAGTAAAGTAAGTAAATAATATACAGAAGAAGATACCAATTTTTTTTTTAAAATTTAGCCCACAATGTGACCACATGTTAACTCACAGAAATGCACAGGCAAGTTTTATCTCTTGTTACCAAAAGGGTGAAGAGTTTGGAGAAGCAGGAGAAGTGAACAATCTAGGACAACATAGCTGAACTGGAAAGTGAGCTGAATTGGATAATTTTGGCCTAGATTGTTTACTTCTGCCTTCTCCAAACTCTTTACCCTTTTGTGAATAACCCTGTAAAAGATTTAGCACTTGCTGGCAGCCACCCGAATAGGTAGGGAGACTTTCAGTCACTCAACCTTGCTTCAAAAACCACAAATAATCATTATGAGTAGAAAATGATCACTAAACAAATGGAACAAATGAATGTGTTGCGCGTATGTATATATATATATATAAATATATATATATATACACTGAGTGGCCAGATTATTATGACCACCCCATCAGTACTTCGTTGGGCCACCTTCTGCCTTCAATACTGCGGCGATTCTTCTTGGCATTGACTCCACGAGATGTTGAAAGGTGATGCGAGGAATCTGACACCATGCCTGATGAATAGCACTGTCCAGTTCTGTGAGATTTGATGGTTGTGGAACCAGCTGCCTGATGGCTCTTTCAACTTCGTCCCACAAATGCTCAATTGGATTGAGATCTGGTGATTGTGGGGGCCACCTAAGCAAGGTAAAGTCTCCCTCATGTTCTTGAAACCACTCCTGCACAATACGAGCACCATGGCATGGCGCATTGTCTTGTTGGAAGAGGCCATCTCCATTGGGATACGCCATCAACATGATGGGATGAACTTGATCAGCAACGATACTTTGGTAAGTTGTGCTATTCAGACGTTCCACACGAATTAAAGGGCCCAAATCATGCCAGGAAAACATGCCCCAAACCATAACACTGCCCCCACTAGCTTGAAGGGTTGTACTCATGCATGTGGGGTGCATGCTTTCATGCTGTTCCCGACAAATTCTCACTCTGCCATCTGCATGATGCAACTGGAAACGTGATTCATCAGACCACATGACTTTTTTCCAATGCTCGACTGTCCAATCCTTGTGTTCCTGTGCCAATTGGAGACATTTTATCTTGTTAACTGCAGACAGCAAAGGTGTTCGAACAGGCCTTCGGCTTCCATATCCCATACGATGCAGTGTACGGCGAACAGTGTGTTCAGAGATCATTTGAGAGGATCCCTGATTAAGATCTGCAGTAATTTGATGCACTGTTGCCCTTCTGTTGTCTTGTACCAGTCTTGCCACTCTCCATTCTGCCCTAACATTGACTAGTCACTGACGGCCACAATTCGCACGTTCAGACCCAGATTTTTGGCTGACAGTCCAGTCTTTAAACACTTTAACAACAGCTGCTCTTGAACATTTACCAAAACATTTTGGGGGCTCGTCCTTGGGATAAACGTTACATTTACGGGGCTAGTACTTGGGATCTGTAGTCCAAAGCTAAACATTTGGGGGGATTTGTAGTTCTAAAAGCCAAACATTTGGGCGCTCGGTCCGGGGTCGTAGTTCTCAAACCAAAATAAGGACTCCCTATGGATTAAGCTATGCAAGTAGCCTGTAGTTGCATGTTGTAGTGATCAATTGCACATGAATGGAGCAGTGTGTGATCATGCAAAATGCTTTGCTACTGCTTGCTACTCATGGGAACCATTTGCTTAGTGATCATCTTCTACAATCTTAAACACTTTTTGCTAACTTTGTATAAAAACAGGAATTCTGGGTTTGTATACATTTTAATACATATTCAAGCTGGCAATTTGTGTCAAGTGATCCCTCTCTTGGGCTAGTTTTCACTCTACCAAAAAAATCTCAAATACTAACATGCACATTGCTTACTTTAAGCACTTGCCATCCATCTGCTGTATATAAACAAATGAACAGCTCGCCTTGGATGCAGGTTGCCATACTTGTACAGCAATTTTTTTTTCTCTGCTCTCGCTTGCCCCCTAGCATGCTCACGAACAGAAAAATGTGAACACAATTTCCATTGTACAGTGCAGTTCACAAAACAAGGTATAGAGCAATGAAATCGGCTGTATACCATGTGATCGCTGTGACCCGTCACAGTTGTCACATAATGTAAACAATGTTTGCAGCTTTCTCTCCCTTTCCTCTCTCATCGTGAGAGGAGAGGGAGAGATCTCAACATCGATTGCACCCTTCCCATTCACCACCATACCATACTCTCACCAAGCCTCAACCCTCCCACACAACCTCCCTCTATCACCCAGACTAGCTTCATCACCCGCCCCCCCAGGCTGTCATTTCTCTAGCTGCTGTACCCAGAGAAGAAGCTGAAGAAGCACAGATCATGCTTAATCAGCTTCTTTGGGTTCCATAGGTGACATTAGGGTCTAATAGACCCTTTATGGCTCCATAAAGTGGACCTGTCACATCGTCTTTGCATGTTTCCCCCCAATGTGATAGCAATAAAGTTAAGTCCCCCACCCCCACATACATGCACATTCAATTTTAAGGCTTATCGTGTTTGGTATCTATTTTTATTTTATTAAAGAAATGTAGCAGAATACGTTTTGGTCCTAAATGTATGACAAAAAGATTATTTATTTGCAATGTTTCATAATATAACATAGGGGAAATAGTTTTTTTATTTTCAAAATTTCTGTACTTTTTTCTTTATATAGTAAAAAACTAAAAACCCAGTGATGATTAAATACCATCAAAAGAAATATCTATGTATGACTGAATAAATGTCAGTCAAAGTAGCTCAGAGCTGAATATTGAAAAATGGCCTGAGCATGAAGGGGGAAAGTGGTTAATGAACATATAGTACCAATATGGTAAAAACTAACACAGTTGCAGCAGACACAGTTGCATATCTTGAACATGCATTGAAATATCTGCCAATTAAGAATCCTTGATTTCATGCAAAGCTTGATTGAACTATGTAAGGGCATATAGCAGTGTGTAGATGGTTATTTGAGAAACTTAAACTGCACAGTATTAAGCCTATTTTTAACACTTCTTTTTATGTTTGCAGACAACACTCTCTCACTAGTAGCCAACTGAAGCCAAAAACATTTTTTTTAGCTGTAGATAGAGTAAGTTGGGGTTATAACCCCTGTCAGCTTGTTTTTTAACATCTGTGTCCCATTGGGGAAATTCTCCCTACTTCCTGTCCAATAGCCACAACAATAATTGAGGGAAAATCCCTCCAAAATTAGGGAAATCCCTTGTGGTCACCAGAACTAGTGTCCCGATTGGAAGATGTCCCATTTATTCCTGTTCTGATGACAACCCAAAATTTGGAATATTCCTTAACCTTAACTGTCAGTGATAATGGTCGCCATGAAAAATAGTAGGGGTGAATCTCCCTAAAGAGGACACAGACAGCAATAAAAAAACTAACAAATTTAGGCTTCAGTTGTACTTTAAGGTAAACCTGTATTTTACTAATTTGCCCCTCTCCAGCATGTACTTATGTTTCCTTCACTCCCTTGCCACTCTGTCCCGTTGAAGAAAATACGCTGTACTTTGGGTATGGAGGAGCATATTTTTGTGCTGAAGATAGCTGTTTAAGAAAAGCACTGCACACTATTTTCCTCCACACCTTATGGCATGCATTTACCATGGCAGAACAACTTCAGTCTTTGAGGAGTTTGTAGGCCACAACATATGTTTGTATTTTTGCTTAGTACTCCAGGTATTAAAGTATGAAATGTTTTATTGTAGATATAATAGAATTAGACTGGGTAAGGCTTACCAGTCAAATTTTCCATCCTTGTTGTGAGATATTCAGCAACAAATTAAGAATGTAGTTCAACTAAGAAAGCTAACACATCAGAATAAGGCTCTTTATTTTCAAACAAGTGACACTTATCTTGAGACAAATTCAATGAGATTTGAAAATTACAGTTGCATGACTAAAATAAAGACCCTTATACTTGTGTTTAAGCTTTCTGAATTGAGACTATTGTCTGCTTAAAACCTGGTATATTGAGTTCAAGGACTGGAGTTGTACAGCTGTGTACATTCCATGAATAGGTCTCAGTCGAATGGTATTCAGAACAAACAATTTTCTGCATTCCACTCACCTTTTGCCTTTTCAGGCTCCTTCCCGTTAGCTTTTTTTTCATCTGCATAGGAATGTAATTATTTTTTAAATGATAAATTACATGCATGTGCATTTAAAAAAAAAATAATTTACTTATTTGATATGGGCATTGCAAAATTTCTGTTATTTATGTCACATGCATTGTAAAAAACTATACACTAATTAAACTACTTTACTACGACATTCAAGGATCAGGAGACAAACATTAAGCTACTGAAGAGATACAACAACACAATGCTATTTCACTCACCTGTCACCTTTTCTTTCTCTGTATCCTTATTTTGGTTTGGCTCTGCACAGGAAGTAATTATTTTCCATATTGAAAATAATATGTCTTTGTAGCTTTTGATATGCATATAGTATATATTTCGCATAATGACTGTAACATTCACATAATAATAAGCGTGTGTAAAGTCAAGCTCTGTCTCTCCATTTTGGCTGAATTCCCACCCTCTAGGCCAAGAGAACCTGAGCAATGCCAGAAAATGCAAGGTAGGACTAAGAACCTTTGGCTTAGGTGGCAAACACACCTAACATTTAATCACATGAAAACTCATGGCTACAATGGAAGTTGGTGCTGAAAGACTTTCCTCTGTAAATTACTAGTCTGAACAGGGAGCAGATAGCTATACATTAGCCAGAATGTGTTACTGGCTGGGTGTCCTACTCTGACTGATGTTTGAGTGGCAAAGTATTTCAACTCAGGGCCCTAGCCCAAAATATATTATTAGTACTAGCTTATAAGGCAAGTGCCCCCCCTGCTATTCAGCACAGTTCTCCATTTGGAATAATGTCAAGCATGCAAGTAATATGGGACATCATAGAAATGTTACCAGTTCATCCCACTTTTGTCAAATCTTTGTACTGTTTTTTAGTTTCCATTTTTAATGGCCAGTACAGTTACAGGTGTTATAGTTATAGGCATTCTCATGGCCCTTTATTGGCTGCATCTACTGGATTCTTTCTATGAAAAGCAAAGAAAAACAGAGCATCTGATTTTTAAAATCTATAGCCTTCAACAAGCAAAATAGTCCAATAGCTATACTTTTGAAGGCTAAAATTCTTTTCACACACATTTACTTTGATGCTGATTGCATGCATGTTTAAGGGACTAACATATTGTTTAGGTCACTTGCTCCATGTTTTCTGACCCAAACAAGAAGTCTGTCTGTCTGATGTATCTTCCTTTTCTCCTGTTGTACCAGAACACCACCACAGTTAGACTGAACAAGCCACTAACTGTTCCATCAAACAGTTCCTGCATTACAACATTCAGATAAGTGTCCATGGTACTCTGCCCTGTCTTTCTTAGGTGAACATGCTGCATAAGAACAGGTAAAAATAGTACTGCAGATAAGTACTGGATACGGAAAGGTGAATTGGAATCTAGAAACAGAGTCAGCAAGATATCAGGCCAGTGTCCATTACCGCAATGACTAACATTTAAACTGCAGGTTATCTTCTGTCTGAAATTCTGAATTACACTGGTGTGATATAAATGTAATGGTAATATATACAGGTGAAACTCGAATAATTAGAATATCGTGCAAAAGTAATTGCAGTAAGTGCTGCAAGAGGGGCCCAAACCAAGTACTGAGTACATATGCATGCTTGTACTTTTCAGAGGTCCGATATTGTTCTATGTACAATCCTTGTTTTATTGATTGCATGTAATAATCTACTTTTTTGAGGTTGTGGATTTGGGGTTCTTGGGGTTTTCATGAGCTGTAAGCCATAATCATCACAATTATGACAAATCACGGCTTGAATTATCTTGCTTTGCATGTCATGAGTCTACCTCATATATTAGTTTCACCTTTTAAGTTGCATTAGTGAAATAAATGAACTTTGCACGATGTTCTAATTATTCGAGTTTCACCTGTATATATGTTCCAATTCAGCAGCATGTTGGTCATATAATTGCTAACTGAATACAAAGCTCTGTTTGGAGAAATTATAACATAAGCATGACATAGCATACCAGCTGAACAAGTAGAAAGTGACATTAAACTGTGCTTGGGCATACTTCTTAATTAAATCATTTTGCTTACTGAAACAAGCTGAGAAGTTACTCCTATTAGCAATTCTATTATCAACACCTTGTCCCACACACATACACCAGTTTTGGACTAGCAAGAGCTCCATCGGTAGCTTCATGCAGATCATTGGCATGCTGTAACATTTTACTGTTAAATTCAAAGAATCATTCCACCCAAGTTGTATATTTAAATTTTTGGTTTGTTAAGTACAAATAAGCTGACAGTTTCTTATTTATCTTTGGGATTCTTTTGCTGGGAGTTCCGGAGTCAGTCTGCATAACTACTGTGGACAATATATTGTCCACAGTAATATATTGTCCACACATAATTCTTACTCTATTCCTGTCCACTTTCCCTGGTAAATAAAAAAATACCAGTGAGAGTAGACAGGACTAGGGAAAGAATTATGTTAGAGAGATTTCACTGCTCTGGCATTCAAGCCATATAAGGGGTCAGGAGCAGACTGAGCCCACTAGGTGCCACTTATTGGTAAAATATTACTGCTGGGGTGGACTGATCCTTTAAGGATACTAATGTAAGACACATTGCATTACTATATTATATATTTACTTTTCTATGATTACAATCTTGAGCAAAGTAATGTACAGAAAAGAATGTTCTGTTGCTCAAACCTTCTCTATTGTTTTGTAACATGCATACAAATAATAAGTATGCCAAATGCAAACTACTACAGCAATACTACATGACTACAATTTCTAGTTTACCCAAGGCAAGCACTATTCTTCAAACACAGAACTTTCAGGCTTCACTCACCTGTCACCTTTTCTGTATCATCATCATTAGGTTTTAGGTTTTCCCCTGCTAGAGAACAGATTAGGTGTTTATGTTTAACCAGTAACCCTTTCCCAATGAATGCCATACATATGAAAACAGGAAACGTTTTATAATCGAAAATTAAAAAATGAGATTACCCAAATAAAAAACATTTGGATAATAGTGCATGCACTATTTTTTGTGATCGTACCACACTGGAACGCAGGACATTGTATTACCACGTGGTCCTGTACAGCTGATTGCACTGCGGGCGGGAGGCGTGTCTGCAGTACCATTGACATGAATGGCACTGCCATGCCCCCTACCGCCCAAGAAAGCAAGGAGACTTTGTGTATGCTATCCCTTACGTTCTGGGCATGTGACAGTGCGATGAGTGGAAACGAGCCCTTAACAACTGCAGGTACCATTTAGCATTAGTCTCCTGATGTTCTTTATTACCATGGTCATGAAACCACTAGGATATTTTCTGCCGCAACGGTTTAGACCGGAGGCAGTTTACCACTTTTCGGCCTAAAGCTATGAAGACATCCGGAGGAGCTTTCAGCTTGGGGATTGTCTTTCTACTTATGGCAGACAGAAGGATATGAGGGGCCTATAGTCATGAATGGAGGCCCCACACTATCAGGTTTCAGGATATTATTCCTGATTATGCCTTAGCTGCCTATTTCATCCAAACTTTGCACATATTGGGGTCAATTCACAAAGCTTTTTTTCCAGATTCCGCTCTTTATTTCAGCGATTTCGCACGATATTGAAGCTTGTTCAATTCACCAAACGATTTAACTCTTAGAAAAATCATCAAATAACGTCTCACTAAACGGAACTGATATTTTAAGGTGTGGATCGTTATTAAACGCTTTGATCGTCAAATCGTTAAATATGTACAGAAGTGCAATTCACAAAGATTTTTTTGCAAGATATCGATCGTTAAGCAATCGTTACATAAGCACATCCCTCAGGGTGTCGTTATGACATTTCCCTGGCGGTATTTCTTTCTTAGAGGAAGTTTTTGGCGGTACATTCAGTTCTTCAGTTTTGTAGTGAAAGTGTTTGGTAGTTTGGGGCAAGATGGAACCATTTGGGTGTGCTCTATTTGAACTTAAAACTATCCAGAGGCGAAGAAGAACACGTCAGCATGTTGTTCTGATTTATAAACGTGTATTCCGTTCTCGCACTATTTTGGATGACTTTTCTGAAACCCAGGTGATAGCTAAATTCCGCTTAACATCTCCCATGATTCATTCTCTGTATGAGGAAATACACATGGCTTTAGAAAAACGCACACAGAGAAGTTATGCAGTACCAGGTCTTGTGCATTTTTTGGACTGAAGCACTGTTCTCCTCCCCTTCTGCTCCCAGAATGCATCTCTCCAGCGTTATTTGACGATCTTAGATGTTATTATTACGCTTTGGGACGTTAGCATAACTCTTGAGTAGGTAAAATATCGTTCATCTAAATAAAATTACGTTCCAAACGTTAGCATAACGATTGGATAACGAGTCAGTAGAAAACCTTAACAACTAAGTTGAATAACGATTATAGCTTTAGTGAATACCATGTTTGCTAGCGTTAAATAAGGGACGGTAATTTAACAACTGAAGGAAACCAATAACGTTTATCTTTGTGAATTGACCCCAATGATATATAAAATAGTATCAGAAATTCTACAAGAAAAGCAACATTGCTCATTTGAAGGCATCGATAAATCCTTTTGCAGCTAGTAGTATTTATGACCGAAATACTGCCATAATTCCCATTTCCACGTTTTTGTCTTAATATAGACGTCAATATCATTATTATGTTGTCTGCACATATGTATTGCAGTGCATGCCCCTATTAATAATCTGCGGACTAATTCTCATCATTAGGTGTTGACTGACATCTGTCTCCACCTCTGCAGACAGCAAGGAAGTTTTGAGAAGTCTGTAGTGTCTGAGAGAACTTCAAGTATGCAGATGAAGGATCATTTTTCATGCGGGGGTAAAGGTGGCCTGTACAATGAGGATGTACAAGCAGCCAGTGAAAATCATCTTTATATGGTGTCAACTCACAGACTCTTGGCTAGATAGATAGATAGATAGATAGATAGATAGATAGATAGATAGATAGATAGATAGATAGATAGATCAAAACAATAATGAAAAAGATCAGCTCAAAAAAAGCATTCCTATTGCTATTGATCATTTCTAGTAAAAGTTTTATAGTCCGGTGACTGCTATAAACCTAAGGACTACTAATGGTTAGACCTGGTTAAAAAAGTAAAAACTACTTTAACATGATCGAATAGATAGCAGAATAGAAGCAGTTCTAATATATCTATTATAACATGATAAATATCACAAAACACTATAAAATCATTCAAATGCCCCCCACATATGGTCAAGTGAAAAAAAATTATAATAATGATGAAAAAATAATGATTTTAATAACTCTGCAGTACTTTAAAGTGTATTTCCACTTTTGCAGTCAAATTTGAGAATACCGCTCTATATGTTTGATATGTCTTCCTATTCACACAGCATAACGGAAAATATTTTTTTTTAAATATTTTGTTACCTTGCAGATGTTTTGTTGCAGCGGACAACATAGCTGAATCTATTTTTTTCTGACCACACTCACAGTAATCTGTCCTTATAAAGAGACTTAGGACAGAAATTTGTGGATTGTGTTTCTCTCATTAATGTCATTAACATACAATGCAGAAGCCAGGGTTGTAATCCATTAACACTTTGTTAGAACAGGCAGTGTTCAAATCTGCTTCACAAATTATGAAATGAGCAAACACAGTGCAGACAGGTTTAGACCCCTCACTCCTCACAACCCCTCCTGACAATCCAGAAGCAAGGGGAAGCTAGTAGACATTTAACCCTTAAGAAGCCAATAAATCCTAACCCAAGTAAAATACATTTAAACTGCAAGAAACATTTTAAAAATGTTTTTAGCTGTGATTGGGAGCATGTCAAATATAAAATAGGCGTTATCCCAATTTGGCTGCGAAAGTGGAAAAACATTTTAAGAACTTCTGCACATGGGCCCCCAGCCACTCAGGAATAGGCTTTATATATGGGCCATGACTAAAGAGCCGAAGGATCCAGCCGTAACTTCAGCTGATCCTTTGGCTCTCTTCGACTGCCGGAGCCCTTCGCTTCAGTCGAACTGAAGGGCTGCTGTACGGGCTATTCACTATACAGAAGGCAGCCGAGGGGCTCAGCCGAGCCGAAGGCATATGCTTTGGCTCGACTGAGCCGAAGTGACAGCCGAAGCGTGGAGAAAGGTCAGCCGAAGCCTATCGATCTCCATGCAAATGACAGCCGGGCAGAGCCAGCCGTGATTTCATGACTCGCTCCGCACAGTCGTAATGACAGTTCAGAGTCCCCAAATGACCTGGGGACGCTGATCTGTCATTTAACAATAACAACTGGGCGGAGCCGGCTGTGACGTCACAGACTGGATCCGCCAAGTTGTTATTCATTGGCCAGGACTTGCTAGAAGACTCTGGCAGGTGCTGGCCAATAGGAAACAGTTGGGCAGAGCTAGGTGTCACTGCTAGTTCCGCCCAATTGTTTTTCTTTTGCCGGCATCTTTGCCAGCTTTTAAAAAAATTATTTTTGATTTTTTTTTCTTTGAACTATTTAAATTTTTTTTTACTTTTCCTATTTTCTTACATTTGAATTTAACTTTTTTTTTTTTACTCATTTCACTTATTTTCTATTCTGCGCGGTACCTCTGAGGTACCGAGCAGAACAGCCGAGCCGAATGCCGCTTGGTGGCATTCGGCTATTCACTTACTGCCATTCGGGCGCTCTGATAATAGGGACGAACGGCAGCAAGCGAGCTGCCAGAGCTTCAACTCAGCCGATCCAGAGCATGTTCGAATGACCGAAGGCAGCCAATGTACGGTTGATTTCAGACGATGTACAGTTGAAATCAGCCGTATGAATAGCTAAAGGTTTTTCGGCTCACTTCACTTTGGCTGGGTTATTCACTTGGCTGCCTTCGACAGCTTTGTGAATAACCCTCTAAATTTCCCTTGCTGTTTGCTGTTTGATTATAACAGTAAAAGCTGTCAGCTCTGTGACAATCAGTATTCAGCTATCAGGGTGAACGTTCCCTTACACTTCCTCACCGGGTGCTTTGGGGTTTAAAGACAGGCCCAAATGATAAGGGTATTAGGACCTGTGTTGCCAAGCATTTGTTCACTTCAAGTTGTTTTTTAATTCCTATACAAGTCTATGTAAATGCAAAACCCACTTAAGGCAGGTCAATGAATTGTGAATATGCTCAGAAGCAAACAGATATCAAACTGATGACATCAACACAAGGCCAAACACTGGTGTCTTCTGATTGATCTCTGCAGGCCTACATGTTTAATCATGCATAGTGCCATTGAGCATGTGTGGCCATCATGGCCTTTCTCTTCCTATTCCTCTGGGCTGTCTTTTTAAGCCCAGTGCAGGCAGTGGATGCACATATTTTGTGCACGCTCACGTAAGTATGGCTTGGCAGCGTTCGATTGGTTCCTGCAAGCCAAGGAGCCACCCTTACAAAGGTCAGGGACAGAAGTCAGGGCAGAGTGTGAAAAGGAAGGATAGAAAAAAATAAAATACAAAAGAACTTCAGACAGTGTAAGTCCTACCCTCAGCATCTAATATAGGTAAAATTAATGTTGGGTTTAACATAACTCTAAAGCTGTGCCTCTACAGCCACTCAGCACCACAGCTCCAATGCACTGGTGGTATGCTGGCACTGTTGAGAATAAATGTCAAATTCTGGGTAAGACTAGGAGCCAGTTGGCACCAGTAGGCAGTCAATGAACATGTATTTTCTTTGCCAAAAAAGACTAAAAAAATAGACAGTGATATCTGAGATCTATTCCATGAAAAAAAAACACCCACAAAATGCAATTATGATATGCAAAATGCATTAACACCAGTATCAACTACCGTTTTTTAGGATAGTTAAGGTATATGTTTTTTAGGATAGTTAAGCCACTGATGATGTCATGTGCTCTCTGACATTGTGCTTTGTTTTTATGTGAGAAGTGTACTTGTATTCTGTAAAATGCTAAAAAGTGTACAATTACATAACACAAAATAATTCCCCGAATCATATGTATTATTGTCAGTATTTTAAAAATATAGTAATCACATTCACTCGCCATTTCTAATTACTTTCCACCATGCGTTTTTCTAGGTTGATTGTATTTTTAGCATATCAGCATGTACAGAGGCATTATGCTGTTCTATGAAAATAATCAGCAAGCACAGCATCCTTAATATACAGTATACTGCAGAACTCCTTTATCAATGAATGTCACATTCCAGTCATATTTGAATACTTTGCATTTAAATTTGCTCAAGAGACACATTGAGCTGGTTGCTAAATCCCTTTGACTGCTGGTATCTTTACTTTTTGAATGACCTTGAATATGAGCTTGTGTTCCAAGCAACTCCTCTGTAGTTCCCAGAATGGGAGGTTGCCCAACAATAAATGATGTGAAGTGAGAATGTAGTCTCTCCCAGACCCACTGGAAAAAGCTTGCTGAATCCAAGCACTATAGCAATGGCATATTTTGGCTTATCATGCCATCTTCACAGTTTTGGTTCTTGATATTACTGAGATGCTAAGACTTACCACGGCTGTTGCATCTTAGCCAATCAGATGCACATTCCTGAGTGCGTGGCAGTCTTTCAAGTGTCACAGTGTTAAAGGCTTTACAGAAATCCAAGGAAGCTGCATTCCCTACTACATAAACTTGTGCTAGTCTTGGACACCACAGAGAGAATAATCTAATGCATTTGTGTGTGCATACGAAAGTCAAAGTTATCCTTTTTAGATAGAAGGCATTTGGATCGTAGTCTCCTGACTTATCAAACAAGGCACTAAACTGATTAATTAAAAGATACTCCCCTCTCATGAGACAACTGTCATTCGGATCATGTGAACAGAAATGCTTTCATGTGTTTGCCATTTCCCAGATTGGATTATTAGGGTTGCTTCACGTGACAGGAGCAGACGTGATGCTATACTTTTATTTTGCCTTCAGTTACAGTTAATCTAGAAGGTGGTTCATAAAAATGATTCTCTTTGGGTTTTATTAGCATACTAATTATTCAACAATGCTGTTCAGAGAAGTGTGTGCTAGAAACTTGTATCTTAAACAAACAGGAATTAAGGTAGTCTACCATGGCACAACAAAGGATTTACTGAATTCTTTTAGATTTACTTTGTAAGAAAGGTCTTCTTCACTTGCCAAATAAACTCTATTCTTTATTAGCAGAAACAATGGTTTGGTTTATATTACACCAGTCACCTATAATCATTTATCTCCACTCTTAAATTGCTGTTATAGTATAGCCTTTTCTCTCATAGATTACTTGGATTTTGTATTATTTATTTACATTTCCCTGTTGAGCAGAAGTATCAGAATATAAGGATACGGCATCTTTTACCTGTGCTCATTGGTGATAACAGATATTAGGAAAATATAACAAAAGATCTGTCAGGATTACATCAAAGAAAACTAAAGTCTAGGTTAATTGGCAATTTACCCCTCCCCAACAACCCAGGCATGGTGTCAGTGTCAAGACATCAACCATCGGCTGAGGCAAGTTTCTGGACTTCTTCCATGGGATTCTTACAGCTTGCCACAAGGGCTGTGAAAGGGAGACACTAAAAGAAAATGAAAGCAACTATCTCTCACAAGTATAGCTGCACAATTATACCAACTTTAAGTGAACCTGTATTTTGCCCATACATCTGTGTGGGCAAAAAGACACAAGAGATTGGCCACTAGACACAAGGGAGAAACAGCACAAGGAACACAAGGGGGAGTAAGCTCTAAAGGGTTGAGTTCCTCACCCCCTTGTAACAACAACCAATTGTCAAGCACCTGAAGGCGAGAAGAATTAGTAACATGTTCCCCCAAAGTCAAATATTTAATGGAATTACACTTATTCTAACAAGCTTAACAGTGCAGGTATAACTCTTTCTTAGAGGACCACAGGCATATCACTGTTTACTGACTACATTGCATCATCACCTGGGAAATTGTAAACACTTTGAAGTATTGTATTTGTGTCCATTATCTCCATTACTCCAGTAGAATTAACACTGCATAACAAATGAACATGAAATTAAAGTTGAAGTGAAGCTTTTTTTCTAAAAATAGTCATAATGTGCTAGTAAATACAGCATATTAGCACATTATGGCAGACCTGCCAAGCCGATCCTCTCCAGCACTGCAGACCTCCCTCTCTGTTGCTTCCATCTTCAGCTTAGTCCTCTTCTGGGTTTGAGTGTTCAGTCGCTTGATTGGCCTGTATAGGGTCGGTCAGAGGCTCATTTTGCATGTAACCACTTGAGGATGAGTGGTACATAAGAACAGAGTCAACACTGGCCATTGATTTGTACAGCTGCTGCTGGCAATTTCTGTTTGCACATACTGTGCGAATGCAGCATTTGGCTCCACTGGCATGAAACACTTGGTTCTCACCGACGGTGCCCTCAGCCACCTGTGTGAATGGGGCCTTAAGCTTTAAAAAGTTACTCCACTAAATTGCAGAACTCTCCTCTCCTCCATACTGTTTTGTGATTGGCTGCTTCAGCTCTCTGATGGTAGGATTGACTACTACGCCATCTGAGAAGCTGCCAAGGGATGATACAGCTGTAAATAATATGAATGTGTTGGTATGAGAGGATTATTAAAAGAAAATTGTTGAACCATTGTCTTATCAGTTTCTTTTCTCTTTTGTATACGTCATTATGATGTACTGTAGTTACTGCTCTAGGTATGCCAGCATGTTACCTCATGTGATAATTTATGTAAACCTAATACAGCACTCATCTTACAATAATATTACTATGTATTAAAAAGGATATGACACTGAGTAATCTGTTATGTATTTAAATCGAATAAAATAAAACATAATAATGTCTAGTTTTACTGACCTTCTACAGCTGCTGGTCGCGGTGGAATTGTGGTGCTCTCTGTATATTTTCCCTCTGAAAATCATAATAAACATTTTTTTAAACTTAGCAAAATGATCACTATTATACAACCTGAAAGCCACAAAACCTTATTTGCCCCATAACTGTAGCAGCCAAATCTATATGATTGGCAGGGTATACTTGTGCACCCAAAAAACAGGTTCCACTTGGGTAGGCCAAGACTACATGCCTTAAAACCCCTATCATCTTCCACGAAACAGGCCAGACGACTATCACTTCTTCCAACCAAAACATATAAATGTACTTTTGTTTTATATGTATAAAATATTTGCCCTGCTAATGCACTATATCACCATATCATATGGAGATACCGTATAATTCTTAAACCGTGATGAGTTATTTATTTTTTTCACATGGTTACAATAAGGAACAAGTAACAACAAAAGCTGGCATATATATGTCTGCAATCATACCTCCTTTGTGGCCGAGTTTTACTTTAGAGTCCCCACTGACAACTGAAAACTCCTCCTGATGGGTGACATTATTATCAACGATTACAGTGCGCTTTGTGTGCTCTGTTTGGGTGACTGTTTTTTCAGTCTTTCCATCTTGTTGCCTTCTCACTTGGACCCCTGTCTTGACGGTCTGGGTTGTGATCTCAGTTCTACTTCCACCTGCTACATGAACAGTCTTTTGTTGGTCAGTGATAGTAGAGCCTGAAATATAAAAAGAGAGACCTTGTCTTGCCTACTGAAGGGACAGAGCCACATGTTTTTGCAAGCTTTTTTTCAGCGCTATATTTAGAAGCCTGAAGCGGCAAAAGGATTGTCTGCTTCTTTATTAGTCTTTATGACAGGTGCAGCAGAGACAAGCGCTAAATTCACTTTTTCATTACAGCTATTCTGATAGATCGCCTTATGTAATTACCAAGTAGCTCAGACAGCGCGGCATACAGGCTACTTTTCTTGTGACCTTTATGACAGAAATAGTGGATTATTGTGAGTAATTAAAACAGAGCTCTTCTTAGTTTGCATACAGCCAAAATCCTTAATTTCGTGTTGGCCCGTGTCACAGTAATTCCAATGCTTTATATTTAACAAGAATTCCACAAGCTGCAGATGGTGTCTGTGTTTTTATGGACCATTAGTTAGATCTTAAAGGGAAGGCATGCTTTCCTACTTTAAATAAGTATGTAAAACAAATCAGTTTGATGTAATTAATTTCAATAACGTTTGTTAGAGTTTTCAGAAATGTAATTCTTTGTATATTTTGTAATTTTATGGTGTTCTTGGGGCAAACTTGTCTGCTCATTGCATATTTAGGATTCTTTCCAGTTTTGTGGTGCTACATAATGGATGTGCTTCTCTATTGTTTCTCACTATGTAAGCTAAGGCAAAGTACACTTGAAAAAAATTATAAAAATGCACACATCTTTAAAAAAATATGTATTTATTATTACTTTTTTGCATTGGAGCCAGTAGAGCATTGCAATCACGATCAGTGGATCGTGGGTGCAATGCTCTGGCTCCTGCAGATTCTCCTTCCCCTCCCTGTTATACTAAAGTATGGAAATTCAGCAACTGGGACAGGAGGAATAATTAATGGATAATACACGTGCAGTGACTTCACAGATCCTGTCAAAGCTGTGAATAGATGGCACGACTGTGTGGGCAATGTCACAATTTTTCATGTTACGTGCAACATGGTTACAACATGAAACTTGGTTTTGCTCACATACTATGTAAAGTCTCCCATGTAAATAGTATTGAAAAGTTTAGGAGAATGTCAGGTCACAATACTTTAAAGCAGCTTGCACATAATTAATGAGTAATGCAATCTATGTAGATGGCTGGGTTCCACTAAATGGATTATTAAGCCATGATGCCAAGTAGGTATATTTAACCAACCAAAAGATTTGCCACATTCCAAAATGTTATAAGGCAATACTAAAATATAGAAAGATTTCCTTGCATGTATTAATGACTGCATATGTGAGATATATCAGCTCAACAGGCAATTCAAACCGGAAAATTGGAACAACTTAGGCCATGCACCAATTTGCCCAGGCTATTTGCAGAATCAAGGAGTTTTTCTTAGAAGGACCTACAATTATGAAATCGTGTGGTACTTTGTATGAAAGGAAACTGAAATGTAACTTACGTCAGTTTAGGAGCATTCCTACATTTGAGAAATCAGGAGGAATTTCACATGTATAAACAGAAATGTCTGTAGGAGTGCAAAGTCTTGTATTTGGAAGCGTTAGGGATGAGAGAATGTCATGTGGATATAATATTATTTATAAAATCACGTACCAGTGTGAAACTTTAGCCTGACCTAGTGCTATAGTCTGATCTGAGTTGTCCTATTGTTGTCTTGTCTTGGATTGGTGGAGTATGGGTAATTGTGATTTTAATTCATATTTTGCAGTTAATGAAATATATAAACATATCTCATCTCTAAAATGAAATAAAGGGAAAAATTATCCTTAAATAAGTGATTCGTTTTTATGAGAATACCTGTTTTCTTATTTCCTGTAGATCACACCCGCTATTAAAAACATATATTTTTTAATTCAATCTAATTAAATCCTCATCATCTAACCACACCATATAATATGGTCATCTATTCTCAGTTGAAGATCAAACACAATTTCACAAAAATAAGACTAGTATACACTGAAAAGTAATACCCACCAGGGGTACACTGAAGCCACTGAGTTGCCCGTCATAATGTTGCCTAAAGAAGCTCTTCATCTTGGTACCACTGCACAGGAATAGCATGCAGGGACCTAACCTAAGGCCTACTGCTCAGAAAACAGGATTCATAAAACCATAACCTTCTAGAAATAACTTATGCTGGCCATACACCAATAGATTTTCTGCAGATGTTCTATGGTCAGGTGGAAAAAGTGCAACAGATTCCTCCATCTATGCTAAACTGTGTGGATGGAGGAATCTCCCACTGGGCCAAGCCTCAGTATCCTGCTAGTCAACCCCGCTGGCTCTCAAAATACCTGGACAATGCTTGCATCCAATCAGATTGTTCTAAATTATGAGAAGAAAGAAAGCCTTCTGGAGTTAGATATCCAGAAATTATGCAAACAATGGGGCTTTAGGATCGATACTCATGAAAGGATGCGCAGACAAGATCCATAAAATCTTATACATATATTCATTTATGTTTAAAAGACAAGCCATAACAGAAACACATACAGTACAAATGAAACAAAACCAGAAGCACAGAAGTTAACAAGAACCTGATCAGGACTCAAACTATATCTGCAACTTGTCCGTAATACTGTTGAATTTGATCTGATTGGAATTATTGTCTCTTTCAATTGTAGGTATCCAAGAAAGGAATTGGTACAGATATAGTTCATATGGGTCTTGGTTTTCAATGCGTTTTATACTTGGGTTTCATGAGGAAAAGAGACTCAATAATACAACTCTGCTTCATAATTTCAAACCTGCAGATGCGGACCAGTAGCTGCAAAATTCCCCTGTGTGGGGACTGTGAGGGGGTGAAGTGAAACTATGCCAGGGAAATTAATCAGTTGGTGTTTCCTTAAACTGATAAGGTGTATCCCAGACACAGGCCTGCTGGTCTGGTCTGGTCTGGTCAGAACTATATGAACTACATCTCTACCATTGCCTTTCTTGGTTACCTAAAATTGTAAAGACACAATGGGGGAATTTATCAAAACTGGAGCAGGCAAAATCTGGGGCAGATTTGCACTGCAGCCAATCAGCTTCCCTCTCTCATTTTCAAATCTTACCTGGGCAAACTGAAGAGAGATACTGATCGGTTGCCATGCTCCAGATTCTGTTTGCGCCAGTTTTGATAAATTCCCCTCAATAATTCCAATCATATCAGAGTCAACAGTATTATGGACAAGTACCAGATATAGTTTGTGGTTCTGGTTGGGTTTATGTTAACCTCTGTGCTTCTGGTTTTAGTCCACTTTTATGTGTTTCTGTTATGGTTTGTCTTTTAAACTTAAAAATTCATAAACGTATAAGATTTTATGGATCTTGTCTCTGCATCTTTTCATAAATATCGATCCTAAAGCCCCAGGGTTTGCATAATTTCTGGAGATATAATTCCAGAAGGTTTTCTTTCTTTTCATGAACAAAAAAGTTAAGGAGTGATTCACATGTCAGTTTCTGATATCCCTTTCAGGTCCCACCAGCAATCAATGAGTACTTTGAAATATGTACACTAAGATCATTATAATGCCAAACATTTGGCACATATGAAATTGTATGTAAATATGATTTGCTCATAGATGTCAGTTATCACATCCCAGGTGACTAGAATTAGGGCAGATCATACAAGATGTGACTCACAGACCAAGTTAATGAGATATTTGAAGATCAATGGCTTGAGATCTGAGACATGTCAGTAGAAGCTGATATGCTAGCAGTCCTCTTTGCAAATTTTATATTTAAGGTGGCTTCAAATGAAACATTCCTCAGGTCTTTTAAAGTTATGGTTTAATTAGCATTAAGGTAAAATTCCTGATTAAGCTCGGGAGCTGACAGCCCAAAAGGAGAGTTGACCATGTTCAAGCAAAGTAACCGAAGTGACCACTGACAACAATATACATGTACTGTCTCTTCATGTGTAGATAGTAGATAGTTCATGATTTAACTGTATGCCTAACAATAAACGTATCTTATTTGCTACCTTTCAGTCTGTTAAATATACATGAATATGTACATATTGTACATATTTAAGTATTTATTATGCCTTCTTGCGGGGCCGGATTTCCCACAAGGCCAACCAAGGCCCGGCCTCTGGGCAGCAGGGGCAGCAGGGGCGTGAAATTCCTATCTACTGATGACCAGGACATGCAGTTCTGGGCACCGAGCGGGTAGTTGTTTTCTACATTTAGCCTTACCTTGGGCACGCAGAGCTAAATGTACAGTGGGGAAGCCACAATGTTGCCGAGATCACTTGTTTGCAGCCTGCAGGTCAGCCACTCTCCACGGGGGATGTTTTTTCTCAGATAGGGGGGCGCATTGAGGAACCTGGCCTTGGGGCAGCAGAGAGAGTAAATTTCAAGTCTGCTTGATAAGTGCAGAAAAATATCAGTTGATGGTGTCAGAGATTCAGAGTTGGCTTGTGTTCAGTGAACACTTCCTGTGTTATATTTTCTTTTTTGCCTTGACATATGTGTTTTAATTATTATAGGTTCAGCTCCTCTGTAAAACACATAAGGTGTCTTTATAGACACCTATATAAAGATGAATAGCACAGGCCTACCATTAGTCTCTAAAACTGTGTCCTACATACACATGTCAAATGATATTTCGAATAGGTGAAACATTGTAAACACTTCTGGAAAATTGTCACTGTCTGTATGTGAGCATATGCAGCAGAAATAAGATAACAAATATTAAACATATTGCACTGCAGATGCCACTGAAGCCTGAAGTTGGCAGTGTTTATCTGCAGGCTGACAGCTTGTATTTTCTCAGTGAAGCCGCTAGTTGACATAGAGATCACATGATCGAGAACTGCTCTGATTGGTTTCCATTCGTCAATGAGGGCCTGAGCTATCGGTGACAGCCTAGGCTGAGAGCCACCAGCCTTGCTAAATGTGGGCAGGTGGCTCTCAATGCGGGGGGGTCATTTATAAGTGTACACCCAGCATGGGGCATCATGCTGGGAGAATTTCAATACAGATTGTGGATGAAAAGGGGTCAATCTGAAT